TTCCAGTAAATGTAAATAAGCTGCAAATCCATATAGCAAATGCTTTAAAGGCGCGGACTAGCCGTGCTAACTAGACACTAACTTAGTACCTTGACTATTACAATTTTTCTGACGCGAATTTCGTTGAAATTTTAGAAGAAAATATTACCTTCGTTACCTGTTTATTTGAGTACTTGATATACTTGATTTGGATAAGAATAAAATTACCAAAAATAAAGTGAAAAATGACCTAATTTAGATTTAATCATTGATTCTTTGAACATAGTCGTTCGTTTATAGGGAATACCATAGAACATCCACAAGGTAAAAAGAGTGCATTACAAATGACCTAAACCAAAATTTGGGTACTAAACCCATAGATAAAACAAAAATGCGAAAAGCAAATAGCTCTGGGGCTCGGTAGTTTCTTGGTATTCACTGACGATACCAATCAAGACCCCAGGGGAATATTTGATTAAATATTCTGGCAGGAAAGCTTTTGGTATCGCAGCAAGGGAAAATAAGTCAATTGGATCATTCTGATATGAGATAGCCATGAATAAAAGATTATATAAACCTATGAATAGCACCAAGCATAATGAACCGATTTGCAAATAGCGAATCCATGCTAAAATACAAACGAAGATGGGAAAGTAAATTGACAACAAATCTTAAAAACCAAATCCAACCTGCAGTGAGAATAAATATAAATGCAAAATTAGATTGTACAAATTAGATAATAGTGAAAAGTCTACCTCGCGACCGGTAGTCACATGTTGTGCCAATTTGACCTTGGCAAAGTTACCCCTGCCTAGAGTGCGGATTAATTTGTATTTTCCAATATGGGGCTGAGCCTTCCAGGCAGGGCGTGAGACCGATGCGGATCGGGCAGTTGCTCGTACTCCACTATCCCCGAGAGTACTAGATGTCTGAGTGGAGGGAAGATTGGTTATCCTAGAGGTGGCCGAGTCGTTCGGATTGCATGTAGTAGCCAACGCCGAAACAGTTGAATCTACGACAGTGGGGCGAAATCGCCCGCTCATATTAATGGCAGTCACTTTTGGAGAAGGCCCAGAATTAAGGGAAAAAAGTGCTCTTGAAGGAGGATCTCTAGGCTCTGTATCTGAAGCAGCTACAGCGTTGGACTTTGGAATGGCGACGGCGATGTTGGGCACACATTTCGAAGAATGACCTGCGACTACTACCGCCTTCATTGCCAACTGATTGTTTGAATCTGAATGCGAGGTTTCCAAAGATGGTGATCCATTGTTGCGATTTGGGAAGCCAGGGTCGGCAGGATTTAGATTAGAACCAATACCAGACGCGATACCATTTGAAGATCCGCGCAGGGTGGCGGATTTAGAGTCAGATACTTCACCCTCATTGACCACTGGATCCGTCCTAATTAGCGTCATTCCACTTTAATATAAGAGTGGAGTGATTTCTTATATGAAGCGATTGCAAATAGAATGAGTGCTGCTGCCTGTAGTGATGCTAAGTACGCGATGACAATGGATAATCAGGCTGGCTAGAGAAGCAGGAGGTAAGCTACAAAAATTGAAAAAGTTTGTGGAAACTGGGGATGGATTCAAGAATTCAGTGCTGTTGAAAATATGCTAGTATTTTTCATATAAGAAACAATACACGAGGAAACTGTTGAATCCTTAGTTCAACTTGAGATAATATGAAAACAATCAAACAATCATGGTAATAGGCAAAAAAAAACATGCAAAACTACGGCGCAATAAAAAAAGCGAAATAAACAACCGCAATACAAGCATCACGTAGTAAAACGTATATCTTTGTATTATGTAATAAGCCCACGTAAGGAAGCGTATTTTGAACAATTTCAAGCCAAGAATGGTAGATACTGTGAGCATGCTGAAGGCACACAAATTTCATTACATCTAAGCAGTGATAAAATGTATCCTTATGGCGATCAATAAAAAAAGTTGTTTATGAATAAGGTGAATAATTGTATAGTTGCAAATGAGTAAGCGCAAGTAGAAGCTATCACTACGTGTACAAAGGATCCTAACTAATGAATATGAACCCGAGGACTGGTTCCAGTCATTTTGGCTCCGAAAATTATTGGATAAGTAAATTTATTATAAAACAGAGGTATTATCAAAATTTTTGCACCACACCTTATTGTATGCTGCTAAGAGTAGGAATCATGCAAGAGCACATTTCAGATGCTGATTTGTATGTAGCTAAAAATTAGCCCAATTTAGGTGAATAAAAATAATAAAATATAGCTAATAATCAAAAACTATTTGTGACCTTAGGGTAAAAGAAATTAAATATCGCAAGTATATGAAAACAGTAGGTGTGAAATATTTGAATTTTACCTGTCCTTGTGGGTGACTATAAAACTTGGCTAAAAGCTTCGAAACTTCTGACATTGTACTGGAAAACCAATATTAGGGTGTACCTAGGTAAATTTGCTAAGCAGTGGCCAACTTGTGTAGTCTATACGCATGGGTGGTTATGAGAAGAAAGTAAAATCCCAGACAATGTAAAGAGGAATAAAATAGACTAAAAGATCATATCACTTAGAAAAAAAGAATTAATAAAACAGAATAGGATAAAAAGTAGATGAGAAAGCAAACGAGGCAGTCAGTCGCTTTGAAGAAGGGTAAAACAAAACTTATGTAGTCATTTTTGTTGCCCTATGTATAGGCAATTCCTTTATTACAAACAATTTTTTTAAAATTTTTTAATTAAATTTTATAAATTTATATAAAGGCTTTAAAGGAAAAGTTTAAGGAGGGACATCTTGGCTATAGTCTATGGGGTTACTAAGAAAAGAAGATTATTTCTCTTTTGTGGTTCGGTGTTTCTCAAATTATCGGGCATCATTGAAAGTTCTAAGTCGTATTACATTTCTTTCTAAATCTTCATATATTTAATGTACTGCATTATTAGATAATATATCTGAAGAGCAATATGATATTGGTTTAGGGTAGATCGTTGGACCAATAGCTGTATAGTGTTGATTTAACATTGTTTGCGCAACTTAGGTGAGCAGCAGTAAAACCTTGTGATCGGCACAATAATGTGTATTTTGCCATGTTACAGGTATTTCACAGAGCGTTATCGATAGTGCGTTTCCAGAAGATAAGAGGGCACAGAAGTAGGTAAAGAAAGTGAGAGGAAATATCATTGCCACATAGGTAGAACATAGCCTATTTAAAATAAAGAACAATAACCTTAAACAATTGTCTGTTCAAGCCGTGGAGTGCCTATTCCCTCGCCTCTGTCCTAGCTTATGGAGTTGCATTCCACCTTGGATGAGATAAAATTTTGGGAAAGCAAGGCTATGTGAAATTTGTTGTAAAAGTCCCATCTACTCATATCACTACTAAAAAATTATACTGCAAGTCTCATCACATTAAACAAAATAGGCTGAGCGCATCCCTTATACATTAAACAATTGTCTGTTCAAGCCGTGGAGTGCCTATTCCCTCGCCCCTGTT